GTTCAGGTGGTTTTTAAACAATAAAAACTTGGTTCTAGTACAATGCAGGGTCAGGCTGTCTGGATACGATGTTTGCTTTCTCTTCTGGAGGCAGCATTTAAAGCAACTCTACTCTGCACGCATCACATGATGTGCCCAGTGGTTTCCAGCTGCAGTGGCTTAAAATGCCTGTTCACAGGCTCAAGGAAGGCGCCCTGCCAGCCTTGTCAGAGTCCCTGCTGATGCTGGGAAAAGCACTCTCCCCAAAGAGCGTCAGAGGAGAAAGGGCCATCACTGTTAGAGCTGTTGTTATCTTCTGATAACATCTGTGTTGTTGGCAGGGCCAAGCAGGGGAGTATGTAGGAAGCTGATCCAAGAACAGAGAGAAAGAAAATAACCATTTCCACAGCACTGAGGCAATTAGATGAAAATGTGTTGTAAACTAGTGGCTCTTTGGACTCCTCGTGTGTCTGGGGAGAAGCCGTGAGGTAGGTGCTGGAAGGCCACTCTTCCTGGGAGATGCCTCTAGTCCCCAGGGCTCCACTGTCCCCTATTTAAAAAGGCATTTCCCCTTTGAGAGAGGGAGGCCCAAAACCTCGCTCTCATCTAAAAAACAGACCCTGAATTAGAGGGGCAGTTGTAAAGCCAGTGCTTTAGAAAAAATAATGAATGAGATATTACATGTAGGTTTTTAAAAAAATTCCTTGTAGTTTGTTTGATAATTTTCACTGAGGAATGTAAGCATTTTTTGGTTGAATAAATGTAGTTAGGTTCAATTTCTGAAATATAAGGTAATTAAAAATACAATAGATTAGTAATGGAATCAATGTCACTGTTAGTTTTTACTTAGAATATACCATGTATTTGAACACTAATATGTACTTTTTTGGGGGGTTTTAACAAGTATGTATTTTGATTCTTTGACATTTAAAGGAATGTGTTTTCCTGTGGCAAGAACCCATTGTCAAAATTAACCAATACTAAAAACAATGAAACGTGCCACTTCTTACCAAGATGACATTCCAAGTTGTTTCCCGCCTCCCTCCAGCCCCCCAGAAAAGAAACTGACTGACAATACCTTTGCTCGGGCTCCTACACCCTCTCCCGCTCCTCTCTCCTCTCTACATCTCATAAACGCCCTTTATTGACTGTGCAGCGTTATACACATAGGAAATGTATCCTTGTGTACCCAGGGTACTTTTTTCCGTTTGTTTTCTCTTCCAGCATTTGATCACTGGCTGGTGAACTGTTTCGGCCCACAGAGATCTCTAGACCACCAGCTCATGTATTTGAAAGGCATCTGTTTATTTTGAAAATGCAAATGTGGCCTACCTCAAAGACTGACAGGCAAGAAATGACCCACTGAGTGAGGGAAGAGGTTTCCAATCTGGAGCCTTGTCCCTCCCTTAGTCACACCAAGACCAGTGGCTGTCAGCACCACTTAAACCTGCTCCTGGAATCAGAGTGAAGGGCCCACAGTTAAAAAGAGCAGGCTTGTCTCTCGATAATTAGCCAGGCAGATCATTTCTCTTCCAGTTTAAAGTAATGACGAGGACATTTACAAAGGACTCTGAGCCTTTGAAATGGTGACTCCTAGACTGAGGGCTGCCTGGAGGAGGGCCCCATAACAAGGACACAGAGTTCCTAACGGTGGCCGCCCAGTCCTTACGAGGAGAAAGCCCGGGAAGGTTAATACCCTGACTTTGATCTCTGTCAAGGCATACCAGCAAGAATTAATTTACATTTCAGATGAAAAAGGTTGACAGCATGAAAAGGCATCTTGTTTCTGGTATGTGAATGTGCCGTAATAGATCGGGAATTCTGAAAGGAAGTTCTGAGGAAGCTAAAGGGATAAGCCGCCCGGCTGCTTTTATTGGGAAGGAGATGAAAGGAAAACAAATTTCAATATGCGCTGCTCTGTAGCAACATGTAGGCCAAATGCTTCCTAAATTTTAAGGGCTGCTCTTTTAAAAATATATATAACATATCTTAGCAACACCACTTAAGAAAATACTCTGGGCCAGAACTAGAAATACAAATGCATTCCACAGAATCTAAATTTCAAATGAAATGATGTGTTGAAAAAATAATAAATTAGAGAATAACCTTAGAAAATAAACAGAAATGGCCATGCTGTGATAACATCCCAGAGCCACTTCCTGCCGGCTCCCAAAGTGGGAGCTGTATCTGGGTCTCCTTCTACTCAGAAATGTCCTAGTGGGATGGAGAGAGGCTTGTAATGAGACTATGTTTGGGAAGATCACAATCCCAAACAGATAAGTCCGAATGAGCTGCTTTGCTTTTTTGATAAATGCAACCATGCCTTCAAATCTAAAGATAAGGAAAATATTCCCAAGTAAAAGTAAACCGCCCATGAAATTGCAAACATTGCTACCCCATTCATGCACCTTTACCACCAATGCAAAACCAGCTCATCGGTTCCTGTCCAACATCAGTGGTGTTGGCCAAAGGGCAGATTCTGTCTGCTTTTGCTCTGGCTGCCATGCTACTTCTAAGAGGGCAGAGGTAGTGTTGGTGCCACCTTCATGCCCATCTAAGCCCCTGCAGACTCAGTTAATGGAAGTTCCCAATATCATCTGACAGGCAAGAATACTTTGGCGGCAAAGCTAAGAAACGGGAGGTGCTTGCAAAGCTAAAAAAAGGAGGCACTCTTAAAGAACTTGTTCTCTCAAGTCCCATGGGGTGCTTTCAAGGCTAAAAAAAGGCAGACACCCAAATGTGGCACATATACACCATGGAATATTATGCAGCAATCAGAAATGATGAGTTTGTGTCATTTGTAGGGACATGGATGAATCTGGAGAACATCATCCTCAGCAAACTGACACAAGAACAGAAAACGAAACACCGCATATTCTAACCCATAGGTGGGTGATGAAAAATGAGAATGCATGGACACAGAGAGAAGAGTACTAAACACTGGGGTCTATTGGGGGGAAATGGGGAGGGCCAGTGGGAGGGGGAGGTGGGGAGGGATAGCCAGGGGAGAAATGCCAAATATGGGTGAAGGGGAGAAAGAAAGCAAAACACACTGCCATGTGTGTACCTATGCAACTGTCTTGCATGTTCTGCACATGTACCCCCAAACCTAAAATGCAATAAAAAATAAAAAAATAATTAAAAAAAAAAAAAAAGGCAGACACCCTTAAAGAAATTTACTTTTTATAGTTCTGCTGAGCAACATTATCCTTCCATGGCAGCTACCCGTAGGTGCTCCACTGAAAAGATACAAAAATTACTGTCCTGATATGAGGAAGCGGACCCATTTCTGTTTTACAGCAGTATTCACTTGGCATTAACAGTGCAAAACAGGGAGCACTCTAAAGATGATTTTCACTCAGGGAGAATGGGATTTATGATTCCTATATACTGAACTCAGGGGAGACACAATAAATAAGCTCAAGTAAGTTAAATTTCAAAACACATGGAGAGTGGTGTGTGTGTGTGTGTGTGTGTGTGTGTGTGTGTGTTGGGAGGCAGGCAAGTAGGGAACAAATGATGCGCTTTGAGTTCTCTCTTAAGCTGTAACAAGAATCGCATCCCTCTTCCTGAGGCTTTGAAGTTGTAGAACTTAGAATTCCTAGGGGATGGTGTTAAAAGTTAACATTTGCATTTTAATAGCACCCTTTCCTCCCAACTATTTTAGTTTTGAATGAAGACATCAGGCTTCTATAGTGGTCTAAGAGTTCTGAGAAGTTTACTTGGAGCCAGGTTCTGGGCAGGGACCTCTTTGAAAAGGTTGCAGCTGTTTTATTTAAGGGTTTACTTCAAGCTCAGCGGTATGTGAAATCCTAGCCCTCTCCCTGCTGCTGAGTCTATCTACTAGCCTGGCTATTTCTCTCATTCTGTCTCCAATTTCTTGTGGCTCCTGGAGCTCAGGGGTCTGTTTCTTCCAGAGCCTCGATTAGGAATATGCAGTCTCACATGAGGGAGGGAGCCCAGGCTGGCACCCACAGTAGACACTACCATTTGCAGAACAGCAGAGTGACTGAAGAGCCAGAGAGGGGCAGATGAGTCAGAAACCAGAGCTCACACCTCTCAGGCTGCCAAGGGCAATGTGAGCCATAAGAGCCACCATGTGCTCATGCTATGGGGCCCCGAGGACCATGGTAGCCACATACAGACTTGGACTTTGAAAACTCAGTTTGCTCGGAAACCCCCTGAGTAATTCCTCTTCTGTTGTGCTGAGAGACAGGTCTTGCATATAATTAGAGAATTTCAAAACTAGAAGGCACCTTCTGGACCTTTTTTTTTTTTTTTTTTTTTTGAGACGGAGTATTTCTCTTGTTGCCCAGGCTGGAGTACAATGGCGCGATCTCGATTCACCGCAACTTTCACCTCCTGGGTTCAAGCGATTTTCCTGCCTCAGCTTCCCGAGTAGCTGGGATTACAGGCATGTATCACCACACCTGGTTAATTTTGTGTTTTTAGTAGAGACAGGGTTTCACTGTGTTGGTCAGGCTGATCTCGAACTCCTGACCTCAGGTGATCCACCCATCTCAGCCTCCCAAAGTGCTGGGATTACAGGCGTGAGCCACCCTGCCCAGCCTCCTTCTGGACCTTTTTAACCAATGCTCTCTTAACAGATGAGGGACACGTGACTCCAAGAGGGAAAGGGTGTTGTTCAGTTGGCGATGTGCAATGCTGACTCTATCCAAACAGCCTGTGCTCAAACGCTGGCTCTGCCACTGATGAGCTGTATGAGGGTGGACAAGTCCCTTCACTTCTCAGTGCCTCCGTTTCCTCCTCTCTAATCTCAGGTATACAAGAGAACCTAGTCAGACCATCCTTAGCCAAGTACGGCAGACAGCAACTACTCACTGCTAGCATCATGGTTATCACAAAGGAAGGGCTGGAACAAGCACTGGGACTCCTGTCTCCCAGAATTCTTGACTCATTCCAGTGTTCCTGAATTATTGACCTTTCAGCTTTTCTACGCTCATAGGAACTTAGTCACAGAATATTTTCAAGCGGACACTGTGAAATGACGCTTTAATTACCTGCTTGAATATGAACAGCAGACTCACTCCTTCTGTTGCTTATTTTCTTAAATTTCCTCCGAGCATCATATCCTCTCCAGGCTAAAAACATAAAACCATGTGCTAGGAATGACATTAATTTAAGAACGTGCCAGAGAATTGATATAAGCTGTTTTCCCCTCCAATCTATTGCCTGGCTAATCCTCCTTTCTGCTTTCTCGCTGAACAAAATAAGCAGAGGTGCGTGAACTATGGTAAGAAGAGAGGCCCCTCTGTTCCCACAGCTTGGCTTTGAGGATGCTTCTGAGGGGTTGCTTTTGTTCAGGCAGTGATTTCCAGAACACTCTGGGTTCCAGGGATAAGTCATGTGGGACCCCTACCCCAGGTGAGATGGTTTCCTGTCATTCTAATCCCTGGAGAAAGCCCTGTCTTCACGACTTGGGGATACGAGGCAGGGCGAGGTTTTTGAGAGGGATGGTAGGAAAAAAGCGGAATAGCCTGAGCCTTTCAAAATCTGTTATATGGGAGAAAAATATAAAGATGAAAGCTGAAGAAGAGAAAGAGAGGAGTCAAGAGAAATAATAAGTAGCACGACACTGTCACTTGTGGATGAACTCTGTGCGAAGAGGTATGCTGAGGGAGAGGAAGCTGTGCAGTGGGAAGGGAAAAGGCAATGAAGAAAGTGGAGAAAAAGGAGAGAGAAAAGAGGAAGGGACTCTTGGGGCGAAGGTGGTTAGGCCCTTTAGATACTGGGGCATTCAGCCACCCACGATGAGTGTAACGTCTCTCTTCGTTCCTCCCATCTCAGTCTGAGCATCGCAAGTCTCCAAGTTGCTGGGTGAGCTCATGAAGTCCAAAATAGACTAAGGCACATTAGGATTCTGGGTTATGAGAGCGTAAGGGAAATCATCCACTTTGTTCAAGATCTGGTGCTTTCATAATCATTTGTCTATTGCACAGGAACTTGAATGTTGTGTGTAATACTAAAGACACATGTATGTAAACAAAGAGGCACTGACTAGGCAGGGCACATGAAAGAGACTAGCAACTTGTCCCCTTGGTTTAGAAGTTCCATCTGGACTAGAAAAGCCTTCTGAAAATGGCATTAGTAACTCTGATACTGAAAACCCGGCCATGGAGCTAAAGTGCGTATTATCTTAGTCATTCTGGGAGATGCGGCGCATGTCTGTGTGACTGGGGCTTTAGATCATTGGTCCATTTATACTGCTGGGGCTCAGATAATGATACCCCAAAATATGCTGCTTTGGACTTCAAACTTAGAGCATCTGGATAGCAGCAAATGCAGGGAAGAGCTTTCTCTGAACTCCCCCTATCGATCAAAAGGTTAGATCCTCCAGAAGATATTTAACTGTGTGAATTCCTTCCCCAGATATCTCGTCAACCAGGGGAAACTGATGCATACAGCAGGAAGGAAGGCTGGAATAAATACCACCCAGGGGTCAGACGAACTGTGTCCCGGGCTATTATCTGTTCTTTAGGCCCATTCATTTCCCCCCAAAAATCTTTAATCTTCCCTTAAAATTATCTATATCCTCCACTTCCCCCTCCCCTATGAAGAGGGTATTTAAGCTTCAACCATCTGGCTTTTCTTTGAGTTTTATACTTTTTATGACTTGCATGTTAATAAATTTGTATGTCTTTTCTCCTGTTAATCTGTCATTGTCAGTTTGTTTTATAGACTCAAATTATCAAACCTTTCGGACATGGAAAGAAAGTTTCTTTCACTCTGACACAGTCCTGTTCACGGCTGTGATCTCAGCACCTAGCACAGAACCTGTGTAGTAGGCACTGATACACATTTGCTAAAGCAAGGAAGAAAAAAAGAAAGGAAGGAAGGAAGGAAGGAAGGGAGGGAGGGAGGGAGGGAGGGAGGGAGGGGAGTGGGAGGGGAGGGGAGGGGAGGGGAGGGAAACCACCTAGAAAAGCAACAGGTGAGTATTCCCCAGTACTAAATGACATGCCAATACTCAGGGCAGTATTTATGAGAACTGGACCATTTACCTGACTGGATGGCAATGGCTCCCTTCTCTCTCTTCTCTCTGACTTTTTTGTATCTCCTGGCTCCAAGCCACCCCTTGGTATATGCCTGTAGCACAACCACTCTGCCTATGACTTCTCGAAGTAGCAAATTTAATTGCTCAACATGATAATATTTGAGAAAAACCTGAAAGGAGATATTAGTTTTAACATTACATGTGGATTCCTCAACAGAAATTCACTCTACTACAGCATATTCAAAATGAAAATATTCAAACAATTATATAAATAAAGTTTATAGTGATGTGACTTATGCTCACATTACTGACTTCTTGTGGGTAAACACAGTTCCCCTTCTAAGACTGAGCCATTGATGGAGACAGATAATGAGGTCAACAGGGTTTTGGCAATTCCAGATGCTCTACAGGCCTGTTTTGTGTCAGTCAGGAGTTCCATTTTCTCAGTTTGAGCTCTGCCTACTTTCTTTCCCCATAGCCTCTGATAAAGGTGGTAACCAAGAGGACTGACCCAGCCAATAGTAGAAGTTCAGAGGGCGAGGTACATGGAGGATACACACTGATCGTCTGCTGAGGAGGAGCAGTGCTGCCATCAACACTCAGACAATCAGGGTGGACCATAAAAACCTGGGATCCTGGGCCGGGCGCAGTGGCTCACACCTGCAATCCTAGCATTTTGGGAGGCGGGTGGATCACCTGAAGTCGGGGGTTCAAGACCAGCCTGACCAACATGGAGAAAGCCCATGTCTACTAAAAATACAAAATTAGCTGGGCATGGTGGTGCATGACTGTAATCCCAGCTACTCGGGAGGCTGAGACAGGAGAATCACTTGAACGCAGGAGGCAGATGTTGGAATGAGCAGAGATCACACTATTGCACTCCAGCCTAGGCAACAAGAGCAAAACTCTGTCTTAAAACAAAACAAAACAAAACAAAACCTGAGATCCTATGGGAACGTGATGCTCTCCCAAATGAAAAACTATACATGCTAAGACTAATAATCAGGCTATGCAGCATATAATGCGAGCCCAACCAAAAAAAATGGACCAACTCTACTAGAAACTCATCACTGCCATTAACATGATTTGTGTATTTACCTGAGGCACTGGAATAAGCAGCACTGAGAAAAAGAACATTTTAAAATGAGCTCAAAGATCTCATTCTAGAAATGCTAAATGGCTCTGAAATTACATACAGAACAGGAGGCAAACCTTCTTCCTCTAGTCCTTAAGGCCTCCAACACCTTGACTTAAGACCAGCAAAGATTGTTAGGTTGGGGTCTTGTTTGCTAAGCTACGTGACTTCCAGAGCCATTCATGCCCAAGAGACAAAGAAATCATACTCGACAATTTGAACAATAAAGAAAGAACTACCTTTGTTTTTCCCAGCACCCAGTGATCTAATCTGGACTTTTCCAAGATAGCCACGCAGCTCTCTTTGCTAGCAAGAGGTGTTTGATGTGCTCTGAATGCCAAGTAATAATACCTGCAAAATAAAAGAGTGAAGTGAAGCATTTTCAGTCATCATTTGAGTCAGTATAGTAGAATTACTCGGCACCATTGACACACTTTCTTTTTTAATAGTAAATATTTGTCCAGCACCAATAATAGCATAGTAGGTAGTAAAAATACAAAATTGATACTGATTAACTTGGCTCTTACTGACTTTCATATTTTCTGCAATGTATATTTATTTCCCTTTTAATGTTGCATTGTAATTCGTATTCAGTGCATACTTGGTGTCTTACGCATGCAAAATCAAAATATCTAATCCTTTGAGAAAGCTGAAATTTAGACAACTCTCCTAGTGAAAGTAATTTTAAATATTAGTATTACTATTAGAAAAATAAATTCCACCGTATACATTTTGACTCTGCAAAGTTCCATCTAAAGCAATTTGTAGACAGCAGAAGTGATCACAGCCTAACACTATTGATTCTGCTGAGCCATTCATCTTATTCAAGGTACATAGGAGGTGTGTTTTCTTGATACAATCATGAAAACCACATTTGTTTCCTAAAATTACTTCATTTTCGTGAACTTCTAAACTTTCAGATGAGAGTTTCAAAGAAGAACATTGTAGGGAAGGAAAAACATCTTTTTTTTTTTTTTTTTTTTTTTAAACGGAGTTTCACTCTTGTTGCCCAGGCTGGAGTGCAATGGCCCAATCTCGGTTCACTGCAACCTCTGCCTCCTGGGTTCAAGCGCTTCTCCTTCCTCAGCCTCCCAAGTAGCTGGGATTATAGGCATGTGCCACCACACCCACTAATTTTGTATTTTTAGTAGAAACGGGGTTTCATCATGTTTGTTAGGAGGTCTTGAACTCTTGACCTGAAGTGATTCACCTGCCTCGGCCTCCCAAAGTGCTGGGATTACAGGCGTGAGCCACCACGTCCAGCCAGGAAAAATATATTTTCCTCACCAATCCAAGTTCACAGCTGAGGCCACTATAACAAAAGTCAGATTAACAAGAGAAATGCATACAAATTCATTTAACAGAAGTTTTAAGTGACACTGGAGGCTTCATGAGGAAATGAAAACCTGAACAGTTAGACTTGTGTATTTTTATGCCAACTTTGATGAAGAAGCAAATAACTGTGGAGAAACAGAATTGAAAAGAGTTTATTACCATATTGGTAATAAAAGAGGGAATTTAGCAAGGCCTCTTTATTCAGATTCTTCTCTGTGTCCCTAAATCTTCAGAGGTATTTCCTTTTCTCTGGGTACAGGCAAAAAAGAATGGGTCACATATGGGTCTTACGACCTGCTTCAGGGGAAGGTCAAAAAGTCCTTCGTAGATTGTATGACCTGCTTCAGCGGCGAAGGGCAAGAGAAGGTAAGAGTGACTTTCCAGTCTCTGCTCTTTTCTCAAATGTCAAGGTGCCATATTTTGGGGTAGTGTGTCCTGAACTCCATTGTTACCAAAAGGGTTTTTTCCTCCCCTTTCATTTCTTCTCCTTTATTCTCCCTGTTTTTAAAAAATATAACTTGTTAAGGTACCAGGCATAGTGGCTCATTCCTGTAATCCCAGTACTTTGAGATGCCAAAGTGGGAGGATCACTTAAGGCCAGTAGTTCAAGACCAGCCTGGGTAACATGGCAAAATCCCATCTCTGCAAAAAATAAAAAAAAATTACCCAGCCATGGTGACATGTGGCTATAGTCCCAGCTACTGGGGGCTGAGGCAGGAGGATGGCTTGAGGCTGCGAGTTTGGGGCTGCAGTAAGCCATGATCACACCACTGTACTCTAGCCTGAGTGACACAGGGAGACTTTGCCTCAAAATTAAAAAATAAAAAAAATACATATACATATATATATATATATAAACATGTCTAATGTATGAACATATATAATATATAAACTTATATTATACATATGATATATATATTATACATAACTTTTTGAATGTATTATCCTTTTTGAAAATCTCACCGTAGTTTTTCTTTAGAAAACTTGCAAGTTTTTTCTCTGCTTTTCGCCGCCATCTATAATTAAGTTCGATCCCTTGGAAATTTCAAAATAAACTTAATTTCCTTGTCAAAGGATTTTCCTGCCATTCCGCAAAAGAGACTAATCTGCTATTTTGAAATTACTTTTAAAGAGAGTGGTTTTTACTTTTTAAAATAATCACCAAAATGTGAAATATATCCCTCCCCCTGCCAAATATATCCGTATCTTTCTATTAATGGAAGAATAAGAGTACCTGACCAGTACTTGAGTCACTCAACTTTATCTTTCTGCTACAAGATTATTTTACAAGTTAGGATATAATGCTGAATTTGCTGGAAACATTTGCATTCAGAAATTCTGGGACTGTTTCTAAGGCTCTGAGTTTTTGTTTTCACCTTTGGGGAGGAGGGGCAATGCCCTCTGAACCTCAACAGTGGCCAAGACCAGATGATGCTAGATCATTTGGCAGAACCCAGGAACCTGCTCACAGCAGATATGTTTCCGAGCTAAGTGGGAGACGGGACAGCCAGGAGTCAAGCTGAGACCTTTCTTTTTTTCTTTTTTTAGACCTTTCTCTGGACAGTTCATGACACCAGCACAGATTCTTCGGCCCCAGGTTCTCTAGGTTATAATTTCTCTGACTTGGCTTTGGCCCCAACAAAAAGATTGTGTCCTGGAGCCCATGGGAATGGTGGGAATAGCTGGCAAATCTATTAAGGTGAGAAAAGTCTGTGGTAAAATCAGGATTTCCTATAGATTTAGGACCAGCTATTTACAACATGGGCTCTGATGGCTTTAAGTAGCCCAGGCTTGCTTACGGTGAATGCTCAATGTTATTGGTGATGAATTATTTAAAGAATCTAATGAATGACCAGCACCTTGAAAGATATAAGAGGAATGCAAGATCTGTTCCAGTTCACCAAAGATTTATACTTATTTTTCAGACATCTGTGGGTATTTCTTAGCAACTGTTAATTTATAAAGAGGCAGAATGTATCCTGAACATTAACATTAGAATTTAACTTGATTTTTAGTCCATCAACCAAAATATCATAATTTATTACAAAAATAATATTCATATCTGGCTTAGTTCAGAAAGAGATGAGTAACAGTACTGTATGTAAAGAGGTAGATTTCAAAATATAGTGAAGAAACATAGAAGTGACATATCTATAGTAATCAAGTCAGAAACGCTAATGTGTTTCCTTCATGGAATAATTTTGGATTCTAGCAGGTACCATGGTGATAAATCACTTTGACTGAGCTCCTGTGTGCTTCAATGTAAAGGCAAACTGAAAGGAACCAACACAAGAGGTCCACCAGGAAGGGAGAGTTTTCTGAGGAGATGCATTTTATCCCTTTCCTGAAGCAGCATGATGAGTTAAACAAGCAAAATATATGCAACGGCAAGATAATAAATGCAAAAGTCTGTCTGGAGAATCTGCATATTTGAGGGCATTGTAAAAACCAGACTTTCCTGAGCTGCCTCCTATAAGTAGAATCTATCTCACATGTTAGAGTCTGAGCATTGAGTTAAGAGTCAGAAGATCTCTGTCTCTAATTTTCTCTCACTTACCTCTCTGTACCTAACTTTCCACAAGTGGGAATAGGAGCCAGATAAATGGTTCTTAACCCTTTCCTTGGGTAGGGAGAGAGACATGTTGGGGCTCATGGCTTTATGAAAGTCTGGTAAAAGCTACACATATTCTATCTTAGCAAATGCTCTTAACACCACACATCACATACAATGTCAAGGAATCCACATAACTTCTTTTTGTTTTTTGAGACACAGTTTCACTTTGCTGCCCAGGCTGGAGGGCAGTGGTGTGATCTGGGCTCACTGCAACTTTTGCCTCCTGGGTTCAAGCAATTCTCATGCCTCAGCTTCCTGAGTAGCTGGGATTACAGGCATGCACCACCACACGTGGCTAACTTTTATATTTTTAGTAGAGACAGAGTTTTACCATGTTGACCAGGCTGGTCTTGAACTCCTGACCTTAAGTGATCTGCCTACCTTGGCCTCCCAAAGTGCTGGGATTACAGGTATGAGCCACCACACCTGGCCCCACATAACTTCTGATGGCCCTCAAGGACCAAAGAGCACTTCCTGCTGCAGAACTCTATGGAAGACATACATTTCCCAAGGTTTCTTTTTATTAAAACATATAAGCTATCAAAATAGTATATATCCAGTTGGAAAATCTCTCTATTCAAAAAATGTCATTTAATTTTCTGTCTAAACCATTTTGTTGCATGGAATGCAGACTGTTCAAGGAAGAGTTTCCTTAACAGGCAAAGCAGTTTGGAAAGCAGTTTGGGAAGCAACAGATAACTAGACATACATCCTCCTGCATTTAAATTATGGAATCATAAACTGGAAGGATCTGTAACATTCCAGGCTATGTTTGTTTTATATTACTACATAAAAAATTACTTCAAAATGTAATGCCTTAAAAACAGATATGTATCACCACACAGTCTGAAGGTCAGGAATTCAGGAGCAGCTTATCATTTTCCAGCCAAGGGTCTCTCATGAGACTACAGTCAAGATGTCAGCCATGCCTGCAGTCATCTGAAAGCTTGACTGGCACTGGAGGATCCATTTCCGAGATAACTCACTCACACTGCTGTTGGTTGAAAGATTCCATTCCTCTCTGGCGGTTGGTAGGAGGCCTCAGCTCCTTGCCACATGGTTCTCTCCAGAGGACTGAGTAGCTTCATTATATAGAAGATGGCTTCCCTCAGAGCAAAGGGTCTTAGGGTTGGGGTAGGGGGCAGAGAGGGAGAGAAAGAGAAGAATTTGCAATGTCTTTTGTGACCTAGGCTTAGAAGTGACATATTCTCATTTCTTCTCTATTCTTCTATTCCTTAGAAGTAAGTCACTAAATCCAGATCACATTCAATGAGAGAGGAATGAAGTTCCACCTCGAAAGGAGGAATATCAAATAATTTGTAGACATATTTTAAAGCTGTCACAAGAGATCTCTCAAGCTCATCAAGTCTTCTGTCTAGTAATGAAAATAAAAACCACTCTTGATATAAAATGACTTATCCAAGATGACAAATTAAGTGACAGAGACTAAAATTATTATCCAACTCTTGACTTCCAGGTCATTAATATTTTTAAAGAACTGATATGACTACAGCTAATGAAGTTTAATTTTTGATGCAAGGGGAAAAATAAGAAAGAGTAAAGTTAAATGGTACTTCTTGCCAGAAAAGACACGAATGATAAATTTGTCTACACAAGAATGAAATTTTTCCACCTGAAAAAAACTGGAGATTTGGCAAGAATTGATCTCTTTTAGCTTTTTAGCTACTGTTTGTTTAGAAATAATGGGTTTTCCATGTTACACTTTATTATGCTCTTTATAGAGAGTCCCCAACAAAATGCTATTGTTTGGAATGTAGGTACATCCCTCATCAAATCAACGGTGGTTAATTTCTTGGCCTATTTAACCTATTTAACTTGAAGAATATTACTTTTGAGGCAGAAGCTTTCATTTTCCTTCATTCTCCTTTCTTATGTTCTTCAGTGCAAATAAACTAGAGTCTTTGGTAAGACAGAGTAGAGAAACAGAGACTCTGTTAAATGCCCCACAGTTGTCCTATGAGACCTGATCCATGTCAGCAAAAACAAGGTTTGTGGTCTTTGCTCTGGCTTCACTCAGAAGAATGTGAAGGATGTAAGTCTAAGAAATTGTAATGACCAAACATTGCTTTTCCAGGATAGAATCAGAAACAAAGTCTATCAGGTCTCCAAGAAATTCCAGGCTTTCCCCCAGAGGAAGCAGGACCTTAAAGAGAAGACAGAGAGGTAGGAAAGACTGAGGGCGCTATGGAGAAGGAGTAAAGAGGGAAGGTGGCCCTGGACTCTAAGCCAGATGAGCTCTGTATTTACTGAAAGGCAACTTAATTATAGAGGAAAAGAAATGTTTAGAAATTTGGGAAGCTTTCTGTGTTCCTCATCAGTTGTCAATTAGATTATTTCTTAAGTTATTTTCATTCATGTAAAGAACTAGACCTGACCTCTTCCAACACAATGTGGGCAAAACTGAACTGAAATGAACTGATGAGACTTCAGACTCTACTACCACATGTTGACAGCTACCATCTAGGCAGCTACAATTTATAGGACAGAAAACTGGGAGAGAGCTAAAGAGAAAGAGAACTCTGGAGATCTTGGAGGATATTCTTAAGCATTCAGCAGAGTACTAACTGGCACATGCACAAGAGAAAACTATCCAAGGCTGGAAAGAACCATCTGAGAGGATTAGATGGAGCAGTGCCTGGTGCTTACAAAGGGCTGGCAATACCAGCTGCTTACGCCAGCCCAACCAGTTAATCTCATAATTCACAGGACAATAGATGGAGTACTCAGAAGGATGAAAAAATATTAGTCATTAACACAGCTCTGGTTCTACCTAACAACTCTTTTTTTTTTTTTTGGAGTCAGTCTCATCTCTGTTGCCCAGGCTCACTGCAGCCTCTGCCTCCCAAGTTCAAGTGATATTCCTGCCTCAGCTTCCTGAGTAGCTGGGATTATAGGCATGTACCATCACACCTGGCTAATTTTTGTATTTTTAGTAGAGACAGGGTTTCAACACATTTGCCAGGCTGATCTTGAACTCCTAACCTCAAGTGATTTGCCACTTCAGCCTCCCAAATTGCTGACATGTAAACATGACACATCTACCATGATATACCATATTCTGGGTCAAAAAACATAACTTAATAAATTAAAAAATATTCAAGTCACACAAATTATGTTCCCTGGCCACAGTGGAATTAGACATCAACAGCAGAAAGATAACTGGAAAATTCCCAAATATCTATGAATGGGCTTCTGAATTACCCAGAGGCCAAAGAAAAAAATCAAAAAGGAAATTGGAAAGTACTTTTAATTAAATAAAAATGAAAATATAATGTATCAAAATTTGTGGGATATTTAGCGAGATAGATCCCCCAAAATTTGTGGGATATTTAGAAACATATAGCATTAAACACTTACCAGAAAAGAGGAATGATCTCAAATACATGACTTCACCTCCACCATAAGAAATTAGAAAAAGAAGGGCAAATTAAACCCAAAGTAAGCAAAATAAAGGAAATAATAAAGATTAAAATAGAAGTCAATAAAATAAAAAATAGGAAAGCAATGGACGAAACCAAAAGCTGGTTTTCTGAGACAGTTAATAAAATTGGTAAACTTCTAGCCACACAAATCAGAAAGAAAGAAAGAAAAAGAAAATATAAATTACCAATACCAGGTATGAGATCGGTGATATCCTGTAGTTTCTACAAATATTAAAAGAATAATCAGAAGATCGAAGATGGCAGTTTAGGAGGCTCAGGATAGCAGCTCCTAGTAAAAGTGCAGAGGGTGAGTGGATGCCGCATTTCCACATGGATCTTTATTGCCCACAGACCAGGAGATTCCCAGGCAGAGGAGCCCCATGGGTCGCCAGTGCAGCTATTTTGGTGGCGCCCCGGTGTGGCAGTTCTCTGTACAAAATACATGGGTCTGGTTGCCCTTTTAAGCTGGTAATTGGAGCTCCATGAAGGCAGAGCCGCCCATCCATCTGATTAAACAGGGGACAGAAACAGGGAGCCAGGCCAGGAGATTCCTGGGCAGCACCATTATTTCAGCCGGTGCAGTGGGTCACCACATGGGAAATCACACAGATCCTGGTGCCTTTTCAGCAGGCGACTGGAACACCTGGGAGAGAGTCAACCGTTCAACGTAAAAAAAAGGCTCTGAGGCAGGGAGCCATGTGATCAGGCTCGGCAGGTCCCTCTCCTACACATACAAAAACAAACAGTAATTGGAAACACCCTGGGTTGAGAGTTTCGCGGCAAGCATAGCTGAACCTGGGACAGTCCAGCTCTGTGAGGGAGGGGTGTCTGCCATTACGGAAGCACTCCACCCCTATGGAGGTAGTCTGCCATTGCTGAGGCAGCCCGCCATTGCTGAGCCAACCTGCCACTACAGAGAGAGTCCGCCATTACAGAGGCGGGCCACCATTGCTGAGGCAGTTCTAACCACACCCAAACAAACAGGACTGCAGGGAAGTTCACATGGCAGCAGGGCGGAGCCCACAGCAGCTCAGCAAAGCCTCTGCAGGCAGACAGTGACTGGGCTGTCTCCTTGCTGGGCAGTGCAGCCATGAAAAAAAAGTCAGCAGCACAATGGAAACTCATAAATAAAAGCCCTAACTCCCCAGGACAGAGCACCTGGGGAAAAAAAGGGGGTTTCTGACTTCTGCTGCAGCAGACTTAAACGTACCTGCCTAGCAGCTCTGAACAACGGAGCTCACAGCTCAACACTTGAGCTCCTATAAAGGACAGACTGTCTCCTCAAGGAGCTCCCTGACCCCCGTATATCCAAAGAGTCACCTCACAAAGGACTGATCAGACTGACATTTGGCGGGCATCATTCTGGGACAAAGATAGCAGCAGAAGAAACTGGTAGCAACCCTTACTGTTCTGCCGCTGCTGCAGGTGATCCCCAGGCAAGCAGAGCCTGGAGTGGACCTCAGCAGTCCTAGAGCAGAGGGGCCAGACTGTTAGAAGGAAAAATAAAAAACAGAAATAACTTCATCATCAACTGAATGTCCACTTTGAGACCCAATCTGAAAATCAGCAACTACAAAGATGACAGGTGGATAAATCCACAAAGATGGGAAGAAACCAGCACAAAAAGGAGGAAAACATCCGAAACCAGAACACCTCCCCTCCTACAAGAAATCACAACTCCTCACCAGCAGGGGAACAAGGCTGGATGGAGAATGAGTGTGATGAAATGACAAAACAGACTTCAGAAGGTGGGTAATGAGAAACTTCTGTGAGTTAAAAGAACATGTTCTAACCCAATGCAAAGAAACTAAGAACCTTTAAAAAAGATTTGATGAAATGCTAACGAGAATGGACAACTTAGAGAGGAATATAAGTGAATTAACAGAGCTGAAACACACAACACGAGAACTTCACAAAGCATGCACAAGTTTCAACAGCCAAATTGACCAAGCAGAAGAAAGGATATCAGAGGTCGAGGATCAACTCAGTGAAATAAAACCAGAAGGCAAGATTAGAGAAAAAAGCACAAAAAAGGAATAAACAAAGTCTCCAAGAAATATGGGACTATGTGAACAGACCTAATCTATGTTTGATAGGTGTACCTGAATGTGACGAAGAGAAGGAATCCAAGCTGGAAAATACTCTTCAGGATATTATCCAGGAAAACTTCCCCAACCTAGCAAGGCAGGCCAATATTCAAGTCCAGAGAACACCACAAAGATATTCCTCAAGAAGAGCAACCCCAAGGCACATAATCATCAGATTCACCAGGGTTGAAATCAAGGAGAAAATGCTAAGGGCAGCCAGAGAGAAAGGTCAGTTTACCCACAAAGGGAAGCCCATCAGACTCACAGCAGATCTCTCAGCAGAAACCCTACAAGCCAGTAGAGAGTGGGGGCCGATATTCAACATCCTTAAAGAAAAGAACTTTCAATCCAGAATTTCATATCCAGCCAAACTAAGCTTCATAAGTGAAGGAAAAATAAAATCCTTTGCAAACAAGCAAGTACTCAGAGATTTTGTCACCACCAGGCCTGCTTTACAAGAGCTCCTGAAAGAGGCACTACACATAGAAAGGAACATCCAGTACCAGCCACTCCAAAAACATACCAAATGGTAAATACCATCAATAAAATGAAGAATCTGCATCAACTAATGGGCAAAACAGCCAGCTAGCAT